CAACGGAATACTATTCAATCCAAGTGTAAACAAACCATAATTCTTAAGTATACTTAATCATCTTTTAAAGCAATGTTAAACTTAGTGCAATGTCAAATATATAAAATTGAGTAAATAATGAATAAATATCATATTAGTTCAATTATATAATATTATTGTATTAAAATTATAACTATCTTTTTTTTATGTGTTGGAATATTAGTGAATATTATTTCTCGACATGCTTAGAAATAAATTATAATTTACTAGTTCGCAATTCTAAGATAATAAATCCCTTATCGGCATGTCGTGGCAGAGATTAGAATACACATTAGTACATTAATAAATTTTTAGGCGTTAGGTAATACAACCAGAATCATTGTTTACCAATATTTTATTATGTCTAGCTAAACCAGTGTACTTAGTTGCCCGTTAAATGTGCCAAATCGATAATTTGATTCAAAATTTGTGCAATTCGTTTATTTATTATTCGGTGTACGATGTTCAAAACTTTCATCGATCATCTTGAATCTCAAAATACTGGTGCAATCACGACCACTTTAAAATTCGAATTTCGGAATATGCCATCTTAGTGCACACTTACATGGTGGTCCGAAGGTACCATGAAAATCGTGAGCTCCAAGAAATCATTATTTAGGATCTACGTTGAATGTTGATCAGTCGGCGAGTCAGTCGGGACTGCAAGTTCGATCATATTATATTCTAGCCACCTTTCCACTCCCAAGTTCCCCGTGAGACACACTTGTGGTTATGGGAAGCAGTCTACTTTCAGGTAGACAATCCACCTGCCGTGGACTGGAGACCCCTCGAGGTGCGTACGTAGGTAATAATTATGAATGTTTTATAACACGTTGTTTATGGTGCATGTGTAGGTTGTAGGTTCCCGGGACAACTGTCGAACAATTAGCCTGCGAATACCATTTTTACTAAGTTATATAGTTTTGACCAAATATAATATATAGGTATAGGTCTAAAATTATATTCAATCATTATACCTGCAATAGCAATCTTACAATAAACAAAAATATGTTATTATTTAATTAATTAATTTTTTTTGTTGGCGCCCAGTTGCATTTTTTCCATCCAGTTTCCTGCTTTTCCGGGTGGATTTTCATACAATTTTCTTTCACACAAACCTTGTCATGACAATTACGAATACAACAAAAAATAAAAATCGGTCAAATCTATCCATCAAAAATGACAAAATAACAATATATCACTTAGTATGTGAAGAGTATATGTACATAATATGAATATTAGTGCAACGGTTAGTTCAAATCTCAGATATCAAAATAATTTTTTTGCATTTTTTTCACTTATTCCATAGACTTTTAAATAATGTTATGTCATACAAACCTTGCCTTGACAATTATGAACAGGACAAAAACAAAAATTATTCAAATAGGTCGAAGTGTTTTTGACTTTTAGAGAGACTATACAGACAGACATAGAATATTGATGAGAGTATAAAATTATAGCTATAGAAATTAATATTATAGAGTGTACATATTTTTAAATAATATATTGTTTAATTTTTTTTTTTTAAATTTATTTATTATGTGCGGAATAAGTTATAGTTATATTTTGGATTAATCACATTTTGATCTATTTTTGTATTAAATATATTGAGCGTTTGGCCTTTGCACACACATAATAAATTAAAATTGTTTACTGTTAATTGTTTACTTGTAATTAATATGCAGCATAGGCATTTTCACATCGCTGTGAAAGCACGAATATACATTTTCCCAATTTAATTGTATTTTTGACGACATTAGTCACCGAAATTAACTGATACCTATCTGTGCTTTATAGATTGTTTTTTTTTTTTTTATCGTAAATATCCATGAATGAACAATTAAATTGAATAATATTATAATTTATATATTGAAAATTGTTATGTTTATTTCCTATCGACATTTTCTTTTATAAATGAGATTATTCTGTCCGTTCGAATGCTTACGAATTTCGAAACGTTGGTATAGGTATAGAGATAATAGGTAGGTATACCGACACTCATTTCAACAAATATCCATCGATTCCATAAGACTAACTTTAATATTGTCTTTTTATTCATATCAAATTTATTTTTTTTGCTAAACCTACGATTTAACCAGATTCATGATGCGTCATATAAAACGTATGCTGACGGCTGATAAATATGATAAAAGTTCCTCATTGCGTATACATAAAGTTAATTGAGTATTTTAGTCATAACTCGTAAACTGACTGAGGACTTTTGTAAACTTATTTGGTTGAGCTAAAGCTAGGCTTAATTTGGTCATTAATTTAATTATTACTATACATTCATAATGTGATCACATTGTAATAATAATAGTCTATAGTACTATAAACACGATTTAATATTATATTAAATTATGTGTTCACTGTATAACCCATAATAATATAGTACCATATATTACTTCGAAACAACTATCCATGTTTCATTAATGTTGGAGTTTAAAATGTTGCCAATTTATTTTCAAAAAATAATTATTCACTAGATACAATGATGAGAGACAGTGATGTAAACGTTTAAATTTAAATCAAAAACGACAAACATGCCATTGAACAAATTCCATTTGATTTTTAGTTAATATATTATTATTTTAGTAACGTTATAACCGCATAATAAATAGACTGTTTAGAACACTCTCCGAGATGAGGAAATAAATAACTTATGGACGAGTTAGGTAGGTAGTGTAAGACGTGACGAATATTAGTCTATTTTTATCTTAGTAGTAGTTATTGTACATGCGATGTATTGTTACGATGTTTAGTGTATTTATATTGCCGTAAATGATTTTCATTGATTTGCAATAGTCAATATAGATTATAGAAAATTATAGACGTTGATACTGTTTATAGTTTGTTCTAAATGTATCAACAACAACGACAGTATTTTTTTCTTTTTTTTCGTAAGAATATAAACGTTTATACAGTTATTTTTATAGTAGTTATAGGTGGACAGATTTACAATTTTCAGGAAATCTCGCCAAAACATAATATATAAAAACAAATAAAATGTTAAAAAAAATTTAATTAATTACTTTGTGTATCTTTTTTATGTATGTTTTTCCCAGCTAAAATATATATTTTTGGCATTTTACTAATTTTGTTTTTATTGTTTTTGGTTGACCGAGTAAAGTTATTGCACGGCTGCTGTGTTGAACATTATATAGTCGACCACATGGGAATTATTTGGCCATCCGTGAAACGGTGTTCACTCGGAATGTAGTGTACTAAGTTGAAATTATTTTTAGTCTGCTAAAAAAAAGCTCAAAAGATGAAAAAGAAACTGATAAATGTGGACAATGACATAACCGTTTCCTCTTATATAATATGACAAGGTCTGGCTCTAGATAAAAATCAAGTAAATCTATCGTAAAATTTCGTTAAGTCACCGACACGAAAACTAATTGTTCTTTTATGTTGTGAATTTTACAAACGACATCGTGACATTTATAATTTAATTTTTTGTACGTGTACGGTATCACCGTAAGTCTTAACCTGATAATATTTGGGTAGAATGGATTTAATATAATAATATAATGTTATAATTATTAGCTCCCCGAACAACATTTGAATAAGAGTTAACTAAGTAGGTACATGGTACTAGTGTACAATGGTTGGCAAGTCAATGAAAATAATTAACTGTGGCAAGTTAAGTTAATTCGATTAAATTGGCTTCGGTTAAGTTAAAAGTTAATACAGAAAAAAAATTTAACTAAATATATTTAAAGTTAAGATAGAAAATAAAATTGACTTATCCCAGTTAAAAAAAGTGAATTTTTTTGAAGGTACAATATTTTTAAGTCATAAACTAACATAATAATTTGTTATACACAAACATTTACCAAGACATTTAACACTGTGTAAAACATTAGATTATTTTAATACATAATTCAAAAATATAAGTCGACCAATCAGGATTGCCTAGTTGATTACGCATGACTCGAAAAGAAAATTAACTTAACTGCACGACAATAATAATTAACTATAAAAAGTTAAGTTACAAGAATAAAAAATTTAACTGAATAAGTTAACAAGTTAAAAACAAAAATAATTAACTAGTTGAGTTAAAAAGTTAAAAAAAATTAACTTTTTAACAAGTTAATGCCCACCTTCACTAGTGTACTACATAATATATTACTTTTTAAATATAAGCTCTAGAATAAACTTTTGATCATCACTTTGTAGATTTTTACCATATTTTTAAGTACTTATACTGCTCCGAAAACTTACTTTAAACGATTTTGAAGTTGCGAGTTTTATAATAAAGTGACTGAAGAAGTTAGTATACAGTCGAAAGGCAATATAAAACTACAGGGACAATCGAATTGGCTCACAGTATTGGGGAACTTCAAATCCGATCGTTGGATTGGCTCCTAAAGTTTATGGATTTAATATATACAAATATTAAGCTACAAAATATATAAGCCACCAAGAATGATTTAATTTATAATTTTTATTGAGTAATGTTATTTTTATGATATAAATTTGATTTTTATGAATATTATTTGTTTTAACATAAATATATTTTTGGGCGGGGTACAGATATTTTATTTTTGTTAGGTACCTTTTTTTATGACTAATTTTGCAAAGTAGATCAACTTAGTTAAGTATTGATCAACAAAAACATATTATTTGTGATTCACAGATTTTCCTTGTAGAGGAAAAGTATTGAGTATTTGAGTATGGTTTTTTTTATAATATTATCAAATTATTCAAACTAATAGTAATATTCGATGCTTCGTGATACGTCCAGGTTTTTCCTAATTTATATTTTTACCCCATTTGTTCATTTCAAAATGTGCTATTTTTTCACTTTTCATCCCATTTTGTTAACCCGTATACATATATGTATATATATATATACACACATTTATAGTTCAATTTATTTGGAGCAGACTAATTAGTCAAAGTAATGGAGATAATTCAATAATGCCTTTTAAGAGTAAATTATCGATTACCTAGATTTGGGAGCAAATTCAGTTTTTATGAACACTTTTATACCAGAAGATAAGTTCTTTGACCAATCAAGAAGGAGAAGAATCAACACTCTAATCTGGATTCCTGGATACAGCAATGTTGAAGGGAATGAAAATTCAGATCAAGTATCCAAGTCAGCAGTAAAATCCACTTATACCCCAAAACTTAATATAACGGCTTATCCAGATATAAAAAAACGAAACCAAAGAATTCATTCAAATAAAAATGGCAGCCTCACTGGCTCGAACAAAACACTAAATTAAGAAAAATCAAAATCACTATCTTCGGCTGGCCTAACCTCCCTCTGAACAGAAGAGATAAGGTAATTATCAACAGACTCCGTATCGAACACATCCGTCTTACACACGGATATATATTATAATATACCCAACTCCCTGGATGCAGCACTCAGGCATTACCACACACATTTTAAAGTTATTAAACAAAATCAAATTCTACAATCTAATTTAACAAAAAAAAAAAAAAATGTAACTTATGGCCATAGTCGCCGATGTTAATTAACAACAATAAAAAAAACTTTGAAATAGGAAATAATATATGAAAAAGGTATTTATAGGTTTCTTATTTTGGAAATCTGAAACAATATACAATTTTTGTAAGCAAACAGACGAATCAGCTATATAATCAAAATTGTATGTAAAAAAAAAATAAAAAAATTACCATTACCTGACATAAATATGTTTTGGACTGGTCACATTTTTTTTCTGATCAATTTTAAGTACAGTACCTAGGTGCTATGTTCACCTAACAACCGATAAAATGACAAATTTCGGGTCGTCAATATCGTGTTGCAATTGTCCTTAGCATCCGATGCATAGGTATCCCAGTAAACTTAGCGGACATTGGTCTAACAAATTAAACGAATTTGTTGGTAAATTATTATTAAACATTGAATGCGTTGGAGTTTATTTACACGACAGGGGGGGGGGGGTAGGAAATTTCACCTTTCACTTCACACCAGCAGCCCAACTGTTTATGATTAATCACAAAACAAATGTAATATGTAATTTCTATCTACCTACTTATAATATTATAGATATTTAGTATGTCATTAATTGAATTCAAATGGCTCTTTGCACATAGCATGTTCCAACATACAGTTGCGTTTCTGGGCAGATATCGTCAGTGAAAAAGTTGAAATTCCCCCCCCACACTTACCCCCTCTTCTTACATTTAAAATACATTAAAAACACTATAATAGACTACTGGAAAGAAATTAATAACAGAGACATATTGTGACTTAAAATAGGTTTCTGCAATATTTTTGTTATTAATTGATCAGTTAATGACTAAAGGAAGTATTTTTGGGTTGTGTATTTTATGGAGCTTATGATACAAATGGGTCTGTGTGAGTGTAGCTAAAACTTAACATTTTATTTTATTTTTTTTAAGTTTCATGACGTCTGCCTGCAGTTATGCAGTATTTCACTAAATAAAAAAATGCGTGTCGTGAGTAGGCGCGTGAATGTAATGAAACTTATCTCTACAGAGGGTACGAAAATAAAAGATTATCGCCCTTCTCGGTCGGTATCATGGTCTGTAGGGTTTGTATTTTAATAAAATTAAAATTAAAAATTAAATTTTCAACTGAAATTAATTCATTATTATAATAATATTATTATTATATTACAATGATAAGACAAAGATTATTATTTATTACCATATTATCCAGTGTCATGACGGCCGACCGTGACTGGGAATATTTATTTTTTTCGTATCCTCTATAAAGAAGTTTCACTTCACTTCACTTCAAAAAAAAAAAAATTCTATGTAAAACTACTTTCTGGAAGTTTATGAAAACGTTTATAATATTAACTACCGAAAAAAAAAATAATAATAATAATAATCTGATGCCAAATTAATTTATCAAATAAAAACTATTAAAATTAAAAATATGTCGCAGATACTTTGTATTTAATAAAACATAATATTTACTAGTATACCAGCTACTGTGCAAATTGTTATAAATAATTTAGTAAAGCTTCGACATAAGAGCAAGTCTGAATTGATTGCAATAAAAATGCAAAATTTGATAATATCTAATAAACTAATGTGGTATTTGACATGATTATCTGTGTTTTGTGATAACTATATTTTGAAACCACAAATATTAAAGGTTTGACGTTAGATTTCAATAGCCGTCGATTAAGGATTATTTAAACGCCCTTTACACATAAGTTATCTGGAAAATCAAAACTGCAAACGGGATTCGGGCATGAAAGGAAACTTACTACAGTTTTGACAGTAAACCTGGTCGTTTTTGATGATTTTTTAATTGATGGATCTACAGGTGAAACATTCAACACTCATTGTACTTTTTACTTTATACAAATTTGTTTCTACTATAGTTAAACCCACACTCGTTCGGTGGGTTATGTTCTAGTGTTTATTGAATTTATCTCTTCTATTGGACAGAAAAATTTGCTTTTAATTACATTCGTCACATGAATAACAGTTTTATTATTACCTAAAAATGTAATAATGAAATTAAATGTTTCGTTTGATTGAATAATTTACAACATCCTTCACTTATCTGATTTACTGGTTAATGTTTATGGGCACACAATTTGAATCCTATAAAGTGAATATGTTGAATTGTACAGCTAATAAGAATAAGCCAATTCCGTACAAAATATATCGTGCATCTATTAGAAACTTTGACTTTCGGGCCATAATAATAATATGTATTCGTACTACTGGTAAAGTTTATAATTATGAGCTTACGGATGTATAAAACTTTGCCAATTTGAGTGTCATTCCGTAAATGGAATTTATAACAATATTATGATTTATGAAATTAACAGGAAACTCGTAGTAGATAATATGTGTACTGTGTACACTAAGTAATTAGTATAACTAAATATATTTTGTGTTTTAATTTCTTTTTTTTTTGTTTTTACTTAACTTAGATTTTTGTAAATGATAAATTAACCATATCAGCATTATAAAAGTTTTAGAGCGGATACAATTAAAGTGAATGTAAACTTATATAATTACCTACTGCAAGTTTGCTACACTATGTTAAATATTGAACACAATGATTGTGCTTTAATTACATACTCTTAGGTACCGTTTTAATTGGTTGATAAAAACAAAAACAATGAAATATTATTGTAACGTACGAAATTAAATCATAATATGTTCCAAGTATACATACACGTAATCATTATTATTTAAATGTAAATGATTTTTATTCAGTAAAATTATTCTTTAGTCTTTGATTTTATCTTGAGTATGATAAAAAATAAAGTTTTATTCCTTTGAGTAATAAAAATAAAATAAATACATAAAGGGTGAAAAAGTTATTTAGTGATACTATCTTTCAATCTCTAAATGAAAACGACCACTCAGAATGTTTGAAAGAGAAATAAATGTTTTTATCTTTATACCTATTTCTGGGTTTTAAAATCTTAAATTTTGCCCCTAATAGATTTTTTAGTTTTCTTACTTCCACAAAAAAATGTTTTGCTTAAATAATCACTTTAGAAGAATAGAGTAATAATAGTTAACTATTTGATAAATTATTAATAAAAAAAAATTGCTACCCATTAAATAACTTGTTATTATAATATTAAAATCAATATTGATACATTTTATTTTTATATAATACTTATAACTTATAAGTCATAATCAGAATGAGTTATAATATGTAGTAGTATTCAATTCATAGGTTGAAAACTTGTTATAAATGGTTTTTGATATTGGTTATACATTGATGACTTTTTATTTGTGGTAAAAAAAATGCTCATACATTTTCATGTGGCTTATGAATATCTTATCTATCGAATATATTCTTATTTTCATTATAGAAATTAAACACACGTTATATTTCTTTTTTTGAATTTTAAAAATTGTTGAGATAATCGTGAATAGTAGAGAAAATTCCAAGAAAATATGTAGTCAAACACTTTACCCATTTTTAACTAAATCCCGAACACTTTCTGGTAAATCGAGTTTCAAGCAGCAAAGCCGGGTCGAGAAGTCATCTAACAGCGGGCCATAAGCCATTAATGTAACCTTTTTAATCGTAAAATTTAAAAATAATTTAAATGTTCGCCCATTAAGGGACCGACAAAGGTTGTAAAAAATAAAAATGAATAAATTGTTACATATAAACTTATTATTCATAAACGATGGCGGCGTCGCGGAAGTAATGCGAAAGCCATTCCCGCGGCGCCGTCAGGTTCCAAACCGAAAGAAAAAAAAAACGGTGAGAAAATGATAACTTGACTACCAGGGTGACGGACTCCGAAGACGACGGCGACGTCAAGAAGAGATTCGGCAACAAGTGTATGCATAACTATGAGGGGGCAAGTTGGGGGATTGTCTTTTCGACCACAATTGTGGCTAATGTCTGTAGTATGTTTTACACAATATTTGTATTAATCGTCGATGTAAAATTGAGCTGCGCTTCGGAAGTAATGCGAAAGCTATTCTCAAGGCGTCGTCGGTTAAAACGAAAAAAGTAAACGAATGATAAGCACTTGAGACACTCATCAAGTCGGTGCAGTGGACTAACATTCAACATTATATAATTCGCCCGTCGCAGCGAAGAAGGTCGTATCTTTGTCTTCACAAATTTTTTTTTTCCAAGCTGTCATAACTGATTTTGTGCAGTTCCCGCAAAGTCGGTAGTAACTGCATTTTATTGTACAGAACGTTTTTGATTGTTTTATGCTACTATCAGTTTCGCGGGAACTACACAAAAATAGTTTACACAACTTGATAAAAAATAAAAATGAAAATTTGTGAAAACAAAGGTACGACCTTCTTCGCTGCGGCGGGCGAATTATAATATTTCAACATAATACAATGTACCTATTATACCGTCGGCCTGAGTAGCAAAGGGCGTATGTCCAAAATTACAAATTTTTCGTGAGAGGAAAAAACATTTCGTCCGCCTAATTCCATTATTCGATGATTTGTAATCATCAATTTCATGGAGAATAAAATGATACAGTTTTAGTTACGACTTGTAATTATTATAATAAAAGAAACATCGATACTAAATACAAACAATCATAGGCTATTCGGTTTTTTTTTCTTTATTTTAATCACTGATAATCCCGAAATCCAAAAAAATAGAGTTACGCCCTTTGACGCTTAGGCAGACGGTATCACAGCCCAACAACATTGATAATAACAATAATGTTAATATAAGCTATGCGAGTCACGTGACATGACGGGGGAGGCTGCAACAGGCACGCACCGCATACAGTGTGCTAGCTATCGAAGTGTTCGT